CCTCTTCACCGCCTCTTCACCGCCTCTTCACCGCCTCTTCACCGCCTCTTCACCGCCTCGTCACCGCCTCTTCACCGCTTCTTCCCCGCTTTCCCCCCCCTTCCTAGGTGACCAAACTGATAAAGGATCTGGGCACGTTCTGCACACGGGGCCTAGAGAATCAATTTTCGCACGAAGAAAAAAGCATGTACCCAAATTTGATAAAGTACAAAATGATTCGAACCTGTGCTCAGAACAAAAACTGCTTCACCATTTACGTAAGCCCCAACTCGCTCATTGTGTGCATTTACAACTTATTCGAGTACTCCCAGGTGCTGGACACTTCCATATCGAATTTTTTGAGTAAGTACTACATTGTCTAGCGCGATTTCGGCGTCGTGCGCCTCTTTCCCTGTGGCAGTTGGGCTCTGTCCCAGTTGATCGCTGTCCCAGTTGATCGCTGTCCCATTTGATCGCTGTCCCAGTTGATCGCTGTCCCAGTTGATCGCTGTCCCATTTGATCGCTGTCTCTTTTGTTGGCTTTGTTTTTTTCCTCTTTTAGCATTTTCTATTTTTTGTCCTCTTTTCCTGTGCTTTAATATGCTTTAATGCGTCTTTCTGCGCTATACTTCGCCATACTTCCCGATGTCGCGCTTTATTTTGCTCTCCCATGTCACATGTAAACAAACTTGTCTTCTACAACACAATTTGTTGTCTCCCTTTTAAACACACCCATTTGTGGACATCCCTTCGTCGCCGATCGATCAGTCGACTGTCTGCTCAAATTCACCCCTCCCCTGTTCACGCGTGGGCGATGCGCAAGATGTATGAGCGGAAGGCCCACGTCACAGGGATAGAAAAGAAAACAAGAAAACACAACTGTTGTTTAAGGCTTTGGAAGAGATGCATATTTAAAATTTTCCAGCCAACTACTCCATTTTTTCTTCTTCCGTCCCGGCAGCATTTATTTGGTGGTAATCGCGGTGGGAATAGTACCAAAAGGGACAATTTTGTCTGACCAGGAATTGCGCTAAAATGGCTAGTTTT